CATACCAGTGCAGACCAAAGGAGTTCTGGATGGTACCCAGAAGTTCCTCTTTCCCCTCTTTTCTTCTAAAAACACAGGTAACCCAGTTTGTGAGGCTGCAGGACAGTAACAAAGAAAGCCTCCCTCACACATAGCATAGCCACATTTCCCCTTTCCAAACTACTTGCATTTCAAAACTTGGATGTATGTGTTTAGGTCACTGAGCATATGCCTCTGAAAAGATAGGGATGAGTTCTTAATAATCTCTGCTTTAACATGACTCAGTGTGCTTCTTTTCCTATAGCTAGATGATCAGAACTTGGGAAGGAGGGCTTTGATGAAGAAAAGGGACAACAAGGAGGAAGACACCTGTGGTAGGAGCGAGGAAAGGCAATGAGCACTACAAATGGGATCTGTATGGCTAGAGAACAGATAGGTAGGAGAACTGAAGGATGGGAGAAAAAGAACCAAGAGTTATAAAGAGTGAGAACATAAAAAACGTGGAAAGTCACACAATATTTTCCCCATTTTTGCACATTTTTTCCCCTCTTGGCTCAGTCCTACCCTTTCACTTTCCATTTAAAAATACAAAGTAAACTGTTTCTATATTGTTTTTTCTTTACCTTGAACCAATCCAAAACAGTTATTTGTTGTTTTATTTCTTCTCTTCCATTTTTTCCCTCCCCGAAATGTAAATAAATGCAGGAAGGCAACAAATTAATCAATTAATATATTTGGGTTTTAGGTGAACCATGAAAGTTTTGGATTGGAATCATACTTCAATTAATGCTTATTCAAATAGATACCTTGTGCAAAGTACTGCCTACTTTCTAGAGAGACATCATATCGTTCCTCAAAGCCTGAATTAGAGTTAAAAAGGCATTCATTGAACAAAAATAAATGCAACAAAAAATGTTGTTTTAGGAGGGCTTCACAGAGAGGTTGACAAATGAATAGTGATTGGAATGAAGATGTGAATGACATGGGTACTCCATAAAGGAAGAGCATTCAAAAAGAGGGAACAGAAAGTGCAAAAGTCCAGGTATGGGAACATGTGTAGTTGGACAAAAAAAAGGTGCATTCAGTGAGATATTTAAAGAAATAATCTAGCGCTAGATCATGGGAGCAGGAGCTCACAGAAGCCACAATAAGGGCTCTGGAAGTTTACTCAATCATGATGAGAAATCATTGAATATTTGAGAGCAGAGTATATATAACATATCGTTTCCTATAAAATAATATTGAATATTTATATAGCCATTATAGCTGCCAATCCCTGTTCCAAATGTTTTACTTATACAAGTTCATTTAATTTTAAAACAGCACTATCATAAAGATATTATTATTACTATTTTACTGAGGATGAAACTGAGATTTAAAAAGAATGACCATGTTATATGAATATGTTACAGAATTTGAACTTAAACTCACGTTGTCTGGCTTCAGAGACTTTGCCTCTAATCAGTAGTCTGTATTTATTCTGATTTCCACTTATAATGACCTATGAAAATGTGCGAAGTATACATTTTGGACAAGACTTTCAGCAGGGATGCCAGTGAAGGGAGAGATGATGACAGTGACTTAGACTATGCTACTTTTGGTAGAGAAGAGCAATAGTGTTCAGTTTAAGATGTATTTCGAATATATTGGGATCAGAAGGTTTGTGGATGGCTTGCATGTGAGTAATGAGATAAAGAAAGAATCTATCATGACTCTACATTTCTGACCTGAGCAACTGGGTAACAGATGCTGTTTCTGACAAAGCTGAAGAAATAGAGAGGAGATGGTTTAGTGAGGGATAGAAATAAGGAGCTTGATTTTGACTATGTAAGATTTGAGATGTACATGAAACATCAAGAAGGGATATGACAGAGGCAGAGTGGTATATATAGTCTGTGGTTTGGACTATAGATTTAAATTTTCAAGCCATTACCATACAGATATTTTAGGAAGCTATGTGTCAGGATAAGATCCCTAAGGGAGGGAATGTGATAACTCCAAAGATTGAGCTCTGGGACATTCCTGCCTTCTGGGATCACTAAGATAGTGGATCTGGAAAAAGGATCTGATAAGGAGCAGCCAAAGAAACAGATGAAAAACAGAAAGAATGGGAGTGAAGGAACAGTGATTAAATGTGACTAATGCTGCTAATAGGCCAATAAAAAGATAGCTGAAAATTGACCATTGAATTTGGGAAAGTGGAGGTCATTAAAGGCCTTCAGTATGGAATATCAAAGGCAAAAGTAATTGGATGGTGTTCAAAGGACTGGCAAAAATCTGAGGACCACTTGTAACTTTAGCAAGATAGTTAAAGATAGCTAAATGGTTGGGGAGTTGGTAAGAGTTGGATGGTAATAAGTAATGATGCTGTTTCCCAATGCCTCAGTAAATTGCAAACCATATTATTAAGCATCTCTACATTCCCAGCATTATTAGGCTCCAAATGGCAATGAGTTTGAAGTTTCATTCATTCAGAAAACAGTTATTCATTGAATACCTACTAGTGATGAATAGTTTAAAACATTTTTAATTGTTATATGAATGTTTTAATATTAAAACAAAATTTAAAAGGGAAAACTAACATTTCAACATTTTTCACATTCCCTTCAATTGTTATCCATATGTCTTCAAAACTTTTACTCAATTTTCTTATAAGCCTTTTTCCTTGGAGACACATGTACATAATATGGTAATTATGATAACAAATGTTTATTGTATGATACACAACATTGGTTTGCTAATCCTTTTCATTTCCAAATATTTATGTAGACTTCAATTTACAATATACTACAATTATTTATCTCTATGTCTTCTATCTTCATTAATTTATGAGTAGCTTCCTCCAAGTATGGGACTACATCTATGTATGGTTCAACTCTGAATTACTGTTGTCTGCCAGGCTACTGTAGCACAAGAAGTTGCATTGTGAGGTGCTTAAAAACATGAATGCTGGCTACCTGGGTCCTCATTTTGTATTCTCTATTTGTGGTCTAGTAGCTGCCAAATTATTTAACTTTTCTAAAAAGTGGAGATAATTTCAGTACCCTATAGGTTGTTGTAAGGGTTAAGTGAATTAATATATGCAAGTCCATATGATTGTGCTTGTTGTTTTGTAAGTACTTATATAAGTGCATAATAAGTGTACTATACAAGAAAAAATGCAATATGTGTGATGAATGAGTAATAAACCAAAGACAAGTTTTATTTTTGCTTTATATAGATAATTTAAAAAATGCTTTTGGATTAGTAATATTGTTGTGAGCATGTACTATGTGCCAGGTATTCAGAGATAAATAATAATTTCTTGGGACAAATTATCTTAAGTGATACTGAGAAGTGACACAGCCTGGCCATTTCTATGGCTTTGTAATTTTACTATGGGTAGTTATTTTTGTTTGAAGATGAAATGTCCCCCACAGGTTCATGTGTTAAATGCCTAGACCCCCGGTGGTGGCACTATTTTGGGAGGTTCTGGGAACTTTGGGAGGTGTTGCCTCATTGTAGGAAGAAGGTCATGAGGGTGTGCCTTTGAATGCTATGCTCCAGAGTCCTTCCTTTCTCTCTGTTTCCTGTCCACCATGAGGCCAGCAGCTTCCTTGTGCCATGATACTCTACCTCATCACTGGCCAGAATCGACAGAGCCAAGATCTATGGACTGAAATCTCTGAAACTGTGACCCAAAATAAATATTTCCTACTTTAAGTTGTTCTCCCAAGTAGTTTGACCACAGCAACGCAAAAGTCACTAATAAGAAGTGAAGACCTCCAGGGCAGGAAAGCTTCCACCCATCGTGCATCTTTAGCAAGGTTGGCTTCTCTGAGCTGCCCTTTGGTCCCCATTAGGCTTTCTTCTTCTTTCTCCTTTCTTCTTCTAGCTTCTTCTTGACTACATCCTTTTTCTTCTTTCACATCCTTTTTCTTCCTTCTCCTTAATTGTTTTCTCTGGATCTCGATTTCTTGAGTAAATAGTAAGATTCAATTAGGAATCTCCAGGAGTGGGACCGTCAGGGAAGTGGTGATGAGCAAGGCAGGTGGGAAAAGACAACTCAGTTTGGCACAATGCCTTGGTTAGGCAGTCTCAGAAATGAGGGCAGTGCTTGAAGGGCCTGGTCAGTCAGGAAGAAATCCTTTTGAAGTACCAAAGCTAACAAGGTTCTTAAACAAGGGAGTCGTCTTAAAAAAGCCATTATGAAGCTGCTCACGACAATTATACAACTACCGTCCAGAGTGGGGGTGTGCAGCTGAAGACTCCTGCAGAAACCTGGAGACATGAGAGTGGACGGGAGGGAAATCACTCTTTTGAGAACATTCCTTCTGTAACCTATTAGTTATTTCACTCATTCGTCTATTCAGCATACGTGTATTAGTGCCAAGTACTGTGCTAGACACTGGTTATAAACCAGAGGACAACACAGATTCAGTTCTGCTGTCATAACCAGTTTTCTGTTTCCACTACTGCCACTTCTAGTAGAGCTCCTGACTGCAGACATAGCTTTTCTGACCCACCCTTCCGACCCGTTGTGCTCCTTGCATGGCACATGGTGGGCACTCAAATCGTGTACCCTAAATTGACTCACGGCTGGCTTTGCAGCATGGTAAATACAAGGAGACGGGAAGAAAAGGGAGGGTGGCATGGACCTCAGCTGCGAGAACATGATCTTGCAAAGAGCGTTTGTGTGCTGTGTGTAAGCAGGGAGGCGGGAGGGGCGTATCTTCCCGGAGCGCCTGGCAGCGTGCCACGCTGAGCTGCAGGACCAGAAGTGTTGTTCCCCTCGCGCGCCCGAACGCACCAGCGCAGGCGGTGGCAGGGCGCCCAAGGAAGGAGCGCAGCGCAGCCTCGCATCCGCCCGCGGGCGGGCCCGGAGCGGCTCCTCCTCGTAGCGGGCGGGACTGCCCGCCGTGCCGCCCCGGGGCCTCAGCCTTGGGAAGCGCAGAGCGCGGGTGGATCTCCAGCCAAGGCAGCGGGTGGAGCCTGATCCGCCGTACCGCGGCCAATCGCGCAGCGCAGGGGGAGGAGCCCCGAAGGGGGAAAAAGAAAGTGCGGTGGAAAGTAAGAGGTTCATTGGGAAAGGCTGCTGGGATCGGGGTCCCGAGGGCTCCGCTTTGGTCAGTGCGGAAAGAAGCAGTGGCAGGCCACCCTGCTCACATCTCGCTGCTTTTGCTGCACCGGCTCAGCTTCCCAGGAAAGGTGAGTCTCTCGCTGCAGTCAGGGCTCGGAGGAATCACCCCTCGGCAGAAAGTCAGGGTAGATGGATTGTCAGAGATTAGCTCCCTCTACCCTCCCGTTTCACAGAAGGGGAACCTGAGACACATGGCGAAGCAGTGGCCAAGATAGATCACGCTGCTAGTTGGTGCGGTGACCGGGATTCGAACCCAGCAATCAAGATTTGCTGGGATTAAGTAACACAGTCGTGGGACGGCTGCGCGCTACTGTGCCGATTCTCAGCCCTTAAAAGGATGAGTCTGGGCTCCCGGCGCCTGAGCTCAGCTGTAAGCGGTGAGGATAGGAGGTAGTGTGTCCCAGCTTGCCCACCCGGTATCACGTCGCTCACAACCCCAGCTAAGACAGCCTGGAAAAAGGCTGCCAGCAGCCTCGCTTGCTCCTTTCCTGACCTGCTTTCTCGGAAAGATGCTCCTGCTCAGCATGCCCAGGGTGTCCAACAGGCTTCTGGCGGAGTTGAGGGAGAGGTTAGGACACCCGGTTGCTGGTGACCTCCTATGGTACTCAATTTTTATCCCGAGCCTTAGGGAGCGAAGCTGTTGGTCTTGGGAGGCATCATTTCTTCGGAAGAGCTGACTTCATGGAGCCACACAGCCCGTTTTCGCCTTTAAGTATTGGGAGGGAACAAGGAAGATGAGTTAAAGAGAAATTAAAAACATATATGCGAACTTCTGCTGTTTCCTTTAAGAACCAGTCCCCAACCTGTTTTCCCTCCACCGCCTGGTTGTGAAATTGTGAACCAGGGCGGGCGCTGTGGGAAGCATTTTGCTGCTCTGCTGTGCAGATTTCCCAGCTGAAAAAAGGAAGACTCACCTGTTTTTCATCCCTCCCATGAGTTAGCTGTGTAATCTCGGGCCAGTTAGTTTACCTTTCTAATATTGTTTTCTTCAGCAAAATGGAGATTAAAATGTTCACAGTGAGCATTTAAGGCAGTTGGAAGGATAAAATAGGATAAGGCAAGTTACTTGTTTAGCGTAGTGCCTGTAGTGGCACTACAGTTCAAAATTGATGGCAACTGTTGTAAATACTGTTCTTAGGAACCCTGGAGACATTGGGTTTTGAGAAAGGTGATTTCCTACTATGTTGGAGTGACTTCTTTTTTAAATCTGAAAATGTGGTGATGCTTTCTTTTTTAAAGTTTTAACACTTCTTTTATAGTGTTTTCTGAATGTTGTCCACCTGTGACTTGGATTATGAATGCTTGCCTTGGAAAATAAAATTGGTGCTTTTTTTTATGATGTGAATTTGCTATTGGCTTTTAGGTCAAGCCTTAGGCCTGTGAACTGCCCTGATGGAAGTGTCCTTTACTGACCAAGAGGGTCTTGAATTTGATGAGGGATAAAAAAGACAAGAGGAAGAAGTTAAAAGACTTTTGACATACAAGTCAAAGTCTATGATACAGACTGTGATAGTCTTGTATTCCTGCTGTTTTGGGTCAGTCCAGCAACTTCATATTTTTTAGCTAATGTAGAAAGCAACAGAATTCTCATGTATTTCTCTTGGATTGTTCAGGGCTGCTGCTAAATTTAGTCCCTTCTGGACACTAACTTGCTTTATTTAAACACAAACACACAAGTATGCCCACACTGATCTTCCTGTTTATTTGTATTTTAAAATTAAATAGCTTAGTTCAGACATCTGTACCCTGTTCATGACAACTGATTTTATTTATTTATTTTTGATTCAGACAGTTACTTATTACTACCTATGGGATATGCTGTGAGTCCCTGAATTGAATGTTTAGCATTTATACATCACTACCTCCTTCATAGTCCATAGCATTTACATTCAGTACTGATGAGTGCTGAGAAGGGGCGTCATGCATCTTGACGGAAGGTAAGAGTCTGGTGGTGTCCACTTAGGTGCCTCCCACACCGAGGTTTGCAGAGGATGGGATCACTTATGTCCCTCAGCTTGTTCATTGTGATGAGCTGGCTAGGATATATCTCATCCTGTGCCTGAGAGACCAGGGACTTGTGGGGAAAGGGAAAATGTTCAAAATAAGGTCAGAGCACAGGGATGGGAGGGAGATTGAAAGCTAATCCCACTTGGCTCTGGTTCTTTGAAAAAAAGATGCCCAGTTTTACCCTCCTTATATTATTTGTTGCTACCAAAACCATATATAAAACTTAAATTTTCCAAAGAGTAACAGACATATATTATCTTCCTTGTTGCTAGCAATAGCCCTTGAGAAGGACATGGCAGGCATATTAATAGTGAAAGGAGCCCATGGTTTGTGGCAAAATCTATTTGATTTCCAATTCCAATTCAGTAAGTAGGTGGGTGATAATCAGCAAGTGATTTCACCATTTAGAGTCTCTGTTTTATCTAGTTCTAAAGTGGATTAAAAATGCTTCCCCTAAGGATTTGTGCCAGGATTAAATTCAATTAACTAATGTCAAGTACAAGTAGTGACCAGGTGCTCATTAAATGATACCTCTTCTTAGCTAGTCTTGATTCATTGAAAAGAAAACTAGAGTGAGACTCAGAGAAATGAGAAGTTGACAGGGTTGGTAAACCACAGCTCTTGGAGTATAGTTCATACCTTTTGACCTCTGATTCAGGACTTTCTAGTCACACCGTGCCACCTCTCCTATGAGACCTCGAACAGTTTATTTCAGTTGTTAGATTAACGTTATTTGGCTGGTGATTTCAGGTCACAAAGTGGATATTTCTTTGCTAGGAGAACAGTTCTTCATCATGACTGTAGAGTTTTGTGGAGCTGACTCAGGACAGAGAGTTTAAATGATGATCTTTAAGGCAACCTTCTTATTTTCACATGTTCGAAATGATACACAGTTCCAGGAGGAAGAGTACTAAGAAGACAAAAAGTTTAGGATGATGTCAGGTTTTGAGTGTTTTTTCCCCCTCTACTTTCTGGTAATAGCTCAGAGGCTGATACAAAGATCAAGGAATAAATGCTATGAGGGTTCCAAACATTATTCAACTCTTTTACCAGTTCCCTGATAAAGAGTTGGATCGAGAGCACAGGATGCCAAGGCAACATTTGGAGGAAAAGAAATCACTGCTTGCCATGGGTGCTAACCCTGGTCTGGAGTTTCAGTCCTCCAGTGGAAGCTAAAGTTGCAGGCTTCTATAAAAACAGATCTATTTCTGATGTAGGCAGAGGCCCTTTATCCATGGAGACTCTGCCCAGACCAGCCATCAGGTTCTTCTCCTTTGTAGCTAGCAGACAGGCTTGCAAATAGCAGTACTTTCCCCGCTTGCTTTTGGCACTTGGGAGCATATGTTTGCTTTGGCTAAAAGGTGGGCATTTAGCATCTTCTCACCTGGTGTAGTTAGGAAAGTGGAAGGTGGCTGGACGAAATCAGAGGTGAAAGAAATCAGAAGGAAAGGAAAAAAAAAAGGTTATCTATAACATGCACACAGTTCATTTGTTGCTCAATTTCATCAGTCTTTTGCTGGTGACACAGATGTAGGATCTGGTGAGTCATTGTTGCCTTGCTGGTGAAATATTAAAGAGAGCCACCTACTGTGCTCTTTGCCCATTTTGGAAATTGTTCTGTAGGAAAAAAAAAAAGACAACAAAGACAAGGAGGTTACAGGACATTTGGTGTCTGATATTTTGGGGGATAAATTCAAATTAGCCACTCATTTTTTTAAAAATGTAGGCTCTGTGGTTTATGCTGGTGGAATGGTCAGGTGACCAGCTTCTAGTCTGACTTTATTTGAGCTGCATGATGCTGGTGGTGTGAGTTCTAGAGCAGGCAGGCACCTGATGCAAGCTTTTTAAGGGAAAATCCTCACACTGTGCAACAGGAAACAGAGATGCTAACATCAGCTTAGAAGCCTCAGTTCCCATCTCAGCACCTTTGTCACAGGAGACATACAATAAATACTAATTCTTTCTTCTGCCAACTATTCCTTCAATTTATTTGTCTGATAAATTGTAATTTTCAAAATTTAAAAACTCCATCATGGTTTAATTATTATTTTAAAATTTTCTTATTCATTTACTTTCTTGCAGTATGCTGGGGCTTGAATTTAGGGCCTTATGTTGCTAGGCTAGAACTTTATTATTTGAGCCATGCTCTCAGCCTTCTCCCCTTTTTTCCTTTAGTTTTTTTTTTTGGTGGTGCTGGGGTTTGAACTCAGGGCCTCATGCTTGATAAGCAGTCGTTCTTACCACTTGAGGCCCTCTGCCGTCCCTCTTTAGTTACTTTTCGATAGGGTTTTCATTCCCACCCCTCAAAAGCCTTGGATTGTTATCCTACTACATATGACTCCCAAGTAGCTGGGATTTACAGGCATGAGCCACCATGCCTGGTTTGTTTGTTGAGATAAATTCCTGCTAACTTTTGACCCAGATTGGCCTTGTACCACTATCCTTCTGCAGGTATGAGCCTCCATGCCCAGCCTTCATCATGGTTTATGCTGAGCATTTAAATTTGTCATCTCATTTAGTCCTTGCAATAATCCTTAGTATTTGAGGAAATTAATGATCATAATTTAATCCTTGCAATAATCCTTAGTTTTTGAGGAAATTAATGATCATAAAAGTTAAATAGCAAGACCTGTGTCACATAGCACAAAGCAAGTAATGATGTTGAGAGTTGTTGAGGCATTTCATTTGAGAGCTAGGAAGAACCTTAAATTGTCCTGCCTCTGGATTAGGGCTGAGGACTAGACTAAGGCCTTTGATACATCCCTTCCATATCCTGACATTCTAACTCTGGAATTACTTTGTCCATGTCTGAGAAGTGTTTCTATTTGGGCACCTAAACTGTGAGAGAGCTGAACTAGATGATCTCTAAGGTTATTCTATAGTATACTATGTACTTTTCTTTAAGATTCCTTTCAACTCTGAAATTCTGTAATCACATCTCTTTGCAAAAGTCAAGGCTAAAATGGGGAGAGGAAACTAAAAAGAAAATACCTTTGTTCTTTTATAGCCAGGAGATATATGTTTCAGCCAAACAGAGGAGGTCAATGGAAATCAGCATTCA